CCATCCATCCACCCATCCACCCATCCATCCACCCATCCACCCATCCATCCATCCATCCATCCATCCATCCATCCATCCACCCACCCATCTTCCACCCACCATCCACCCATCCATCTGTCTGTCCATGTGGTCAACCAGCAGGAAGTCAGCTCAGCTGCCAGTGATTGTGTTGAGACCCCGGCAGTCACATGCACTTTCAGAGGCAGGTTGGACCCAGAAGGTCCCATTAGAACAGCTGAGGCAAAGGTGTGAAGGGTCACCAGCCCTGACCGCCAGGGCGCAGGGGGTGAACTGGACCTGTGGATTATGGCAGCTGGTCAGACAGAGACACACACAGTCATGTGGTGGCCACCAAGGCAGATACACCCCCAGCCAGGGTCAAGCTGGATCCAGGGTGGGACCAGTCTGCCAGTCATACAGATGGACAGATAGACACAGGAAGACAGACAGAACTTGAGACACTCAGGGAGAGAAGCTGAGAGGTCCAAGCCATAGTCGGGAGGACCAATCTGCAGGGACGCAACAGCCCCGTCTGAATGGATTCTCAGGGCTCACCCTACCCTCCCATAGACCTGACTCTCGCCCCTCCCCTCCCCCTCCAGCCCCTCTCTTTTTGCAAGCCAGAGTTAAAACAGAGAGTGACAGGGACTAGGAAGCTAGGTGGGCGTTACCCAGCTCCTACACATACAGCAGGGGTCCTAATGACAGTCTTGTGGTCATCTCCCCTCCCCACCCCAAGTCTATCCACTCTCTTTCCCCTACTTCAGGACTAGGATATGAAAATCCTCAAGAATGCAGCCTCACCCCTCCCTATGGGTCCCTGCCATCACCCTTACAAGCTACCCCACCCGCTCCACCCCTTCCCAAAGGCCACGCCTACCTCAGGCCTATCTCTTTCTAAAGTCCTACCCACCACCCACTCTGCTATTCCTGCAAGTCACCCCCTCTGCACCCGTCCCCAGCCCTGCCCTCGCCCCAGTCGCCCCCCCAAGCCTCACCACCACTCACCATAGACCCCGCCCCGCCCCCCATGAGCCATCCACGCCCCGCCCGACTCCGAGATCCCGCCCCGCCGCCTGCCAGTCACCTTTGCTGCTTCCGTCAGGTCCTCGAAGCACTGTGCACTCATCGATGACTCCAAAGGGCTGGAAGAGCCTGAGCACATCTTCCTCTGACTGCTGCTTGTTGAGCATGCCCACGAACAGCTTCCGGTCCCCTGTGGGCGGAGCCCCGGCCCACGGCCCCGCTAAGCCCGCGCTAACCCCCGCAGACCCTTAGTCCTGACCCGCGCTGCCCCAGGACCTTTGCTTAAGCCGCCCCGCTGCCCTGGGATGAGGGAGAGAGGAAGGGAAGCAGAGACACTGGGGGGGGGGGGTCATGGGGGAAGAGATAGACTGGGGGACAGTCAGAATTGGGAGGGAGAGACCGTGAAATGGGGGTCCCAATGGTCAGCCAAGATGGAGAGTGACAGGGACTGGCAAGGCTGAGCTTTACCGAGCTCATACATATACGCGGGGTCCCAATAGCCTTGCCCACACCTCTCCCCACGCCCCAAGTATACAGCCTTCGGGCACCCGTGAGGGAACCGGAAAGGTCTGGGGTGCCTGAAGTCTGGGGGAGCAGTTGGAGCCGGCCAGAGCACCCCATGGTCACAGGGAGGTTACTACTACCTCCACGGCTCTCACTGTCCGCTGGCTTCACTTGGATCGGCCGCGCCATCTGTGGAAAGGTGGGGGGCACATTCAGGGTGGCAGGGGACTGGGTGGGGCGCATGCACCTTCTCTAAGCTCTGCGAGGCACCAGCTGCTCACCTTTGCCTTGACACACACTGAAGCAATCAAGCCAAGGAGACTTGTCTGGCAAACTCTTAGCTAGCCTTCAAAACCCAATGACAATTATCTCCCCAGCAAGACAGAATGTCTTTGGAAATGATGAGATTTCCCCAAGCCCTGCACAATTTTGCAATGCAATTTCTGTCTTCAGGAAGTCAATTTGTGCTGGGCGTTGGTGGCGCACGCCTTTTGTCCCGGCACTCGGGAGGCAGAGGCAGGCGATCTCTGTGAGTTCGAGACCAGCCTGGTCTACAGAGTGAGTTCAGGATTGACTCCAAAGCTACACAGAGAACCCCTGTCTCACACACACACACACACACACACACACACACACACACACACACACACACACACCTCACCACACACACACACACACGAAGAAGTCAATTTGTTTCTGAGACCTGTGTCTGGACTTGGCTAAGTGACTTCCTACAGCATAGAGCATGTTGGAAATGAAAACACAACCATGATCTTTGGTGCTGGAGAGCTTGTTGCTCTCTGGACACAGAGTCCAAGTGTGCCAACCTGGGCTAGCCACTGATGCTCCCCAGGAGGACTCATTCCAGATAACTTAAATTGCCTTTGCTGCCCGGGGAACCACAAACAAATACTGGGAGTGTTTGTTACAGGCCACTAGCCAACTGATAGCTGGACCACCCCAGAAAATGGCATTTGATGGTATTGATCCTGATTCCATGCCCCAAACAGCCTGGAGCACAGACTGGAGAGGGTGTGCACCTGGGAGGCCTTTATTTGCTCATCCACTGGGCCCTGGAGGGGAGACTCATGGGTAAACTCCTACTCAGCTTTCAAAATTCAGCTCAAAGTCCCCTCAGCAATCCCCCTCCCCTCAGGGCTCCTCCCTGCCTCCTGCTTCTGCTCTGTCTCCCTCCAGACAGGGGGAGGAGGAGCTCAGAGTCACCCCAAGCTAGGTGTAAGGAAAGAGGGTCGAGGAGCTGGGGGTGAGGTCCCTGTCTGAGTCAGATTAGGCTAGCCCCTTCACACGAAGCCCTGAGACCTCTGACCTGACTGAGAGCCTAGCCACCCCTGCCCCCCTGTCTTAGCCTCTTCCCCTCAACGTCCTCACCTGCACCCACCTTCCCCTCCAGAGATGGCTCCATCCAGCCGTGAGCAGCCCTTACAGAGCATCCCCCACCCCTCTTCTCCCTCACCCCTCCCCTCCTTCACACCCCTCTCCACACCCTTCCATTCCCCCACAATCCTCTCCCCTCCCCTGCTTCTAACTTCCTCCGGCCCCTCCCCTTCCGGAATCATCCTCTGCTCCCCCATTTTTGGGAGCCCCCCTCCTCTAAGATCCTCCTG